TTTGGGGGAAGTGCCAGAAATTATTTATTTCAACAGACTTTTGAACATGCTGTACTATTATTCTTAGAGTGTATTAAATGAGGTGTACTTTTAGTAGAGTGGCTGCTTAATTTTTGCTTTGGGTAAAAAGATTGTTTATTATGCACTAAAAATATACCAGCAGTATTATATATCATTTAGGGATGTTCTTTATAGTGATGCCTGTATTAGCAAGTCTGCTATGAAAAATGTGTTTATCAGATAGCTAGCAGCACTTCAGTTTGTACTGGACCATTAGCCAGCAACCTCATGGGTGACTCTATTGCTGTTTCTGGGTGATCAGCTGGGGATTACTGCTTAGGGACTGTAATAACATAGCCCAGTTTGGGTGCAGTAAATCACTAACGTCCAAATTATGTTATCAACGTAAAGTATTTGATAATAATACAAAGTTAAACGACTGTTTGGAAAAGCTGATGTCAGCGGTGTTGGCACTGATGTAATTCATGTGAGCTATACAGCAAATAGTCTGAAGTCTGAAATGATTTTTTTACAGGTTACGGCCAAATTTTATTCTTATTTTAGTCACTTGGATTATTGCCTGTGGTGTTCAGGACATGACATTTGCTGAATGCATTTAAAGAATGCATTTAAGGAAACACACACAACTATAAAACTAGTTAATAGAAGTTAATAGATGAAATGGTCTGGAAGTGCCCCGAGAAGGTGCCCAGCCCCTGAGCGCTGCCTCACAGCAACTCCTCTTCCAACTTGTGTGACACTGAACTACATTTCTGTTTCCTGCTTTCTCTGAAGAAATCCCATGCAGCCAACACAGGGGATCAACAAACGGACTTGGCAGACTTAGACTTACCGAAAAGATGAAATAAGCTATCTCAAAATAGAAACAATCAAGTAGAATCACCTTTCCTTGTTACTACCTCATCAACTCTACCAGCACTACCTAAAGTGAATGTGGACCATCTCCTCCCCACTCTGAGTATTTCCAGACAAGCTTGGTTAACTCAAGTGAAGCAATCCAATAGGGTATTACTATCTCTAGTTATCTGCTTTTCCCTTTTGCTGATGGGTAGTGCCTTACAGCAGGCAGCAGAATTAATGTCTCAAATCACACAATGTACTGACATCCAGAACCATCAGTTTGGGATTTATTTGTTATTTGTTGTGATTTGTTATTTGTTTTTCCTGAAATGCAAACCTTCAGGAGAAAGACAGCTTAGACAGAAGGGGAAGGTAATTTCTCTTGGTATGAACAGAAGACAGATGTTTCCTGGGAGACACTGTTCTGCATCATATTCTTTAACTTCTCTTGGATCACAATTAGATGGCATGGTAAGTTCCATTTCAGAGACTCCTGTTCATCCTCCAGTTGCCACCATTGCTAAACCAGAGTTACAGAATTCCTCAACAGGGGGAACAGCAACTAGAGGGAATTTTGAGAAGTCTGGTGTATTCAAAAACTCAAGGAAGGGCAAATGGTGCTGCAAGTCTCAAAATGTTGGGTAACTAAGGAAGAAAAAGATTTCAAGCCAGATTTTTATTGTTTTTTATTGATTCACTGTAATAGTTTTAGTCAATACTTTGGAGAAAGTAAGTCTGCGCCAAAGATTCAGCATTTTAAATTAAATATATGGGGCTCTTCCATAGCAGAACCAGCAAAGGCCAAAGAATGCTCCTAACCTTTCCAGGTCAAATAAGGAAGATCAGACGAATCATTCTGCCCTTATCTAGCACGTAAAAAATCAACTAATGGACCTTTTGCGTCTGCTTAAAAACTAAAAACTTTTAGATATTCATAGGAGTACAAAAGTATTGATTCCCATGAAACAAATCTATTAAAATGCAGTTTTATAGTATTCCCCAGTATGATTCAGATTTCATAAGCTCTTGATAGATGAGAGGTTTTCACCCCTCAGGGTAAACAGAAAGAATTAAAAAAGATAGGGAAGGAACACTGTTTCGTAAGTTCATTGATGTAAGAGAGTTGTGGCATGCAATAGGGGCAGCAGTACCTCCATCTACAGAGTCCAGCTGCATGGTACAAATTAGGAGTCAACACGCAAATAACAAAACACCAATCAATGCTCCTTTGTGACAGGCCTTAGAAAGGTTCCTTTTTGTAGGGTTCTTTCAGTTCTTCAGTACAACCCGGTATGCCTATTTTATTACCTGTTCAAAATAAAGACAGGAAGAATTTGCAGTTAACAATTCCTTTAGCTGAAACACTGTAAACTAACCAGAAAGGTGCAATTTATCCGCCTCCTCATTAATCAGAGAATTACAGGATAGTTTGGGTTGGAAGGTACTTTAAATATCACTTAGTTCCAACTCCCCTGCCATGGGCAGGGACACCTTACACTAGACCAGGTTGTTCAAAGCCCCTTTGAGCCTTTGAACACTGCCAGAGATGGGACATCACTTCCAAGGATGGCACATTAAATCAAGAATATTAATAGGTTTATTCCTACATCAAAAAGAAAGGAAAGATATCATTTTAAATGTTCTTCTTCCTATTGCTACATGGGAAAAGTATACATTATTTTAATGTATATGCTTTCTATATCGAGAGGATTGAAGAGTTTCAAAAATAGATGGCTGAATCTACAGCAGGCATGGGCTTGAGACTGAGAAGCAGAAACCCTTTCAGTGTTGGCTGAGAAGGAGGTATCAAAAGCTGAGTCTTGCCAAGCTGCCTATTTATGTAATATTAAATTATAACCATAAGGGCATTATGTAGCTTGAAAACACTAATCACACATTAATTAAGCAAATAATGCAGAGATTAATGCTAAAAAAAAAATCAAGAAATTAGAAATACAAAACATAAACTAGTACATTTAGAAAGGAGAGTATGAAAGAGCAGAAATGGATACTGGGTTCTCTGCCATTCCTTGGTCATTTGAGACTGCAGGGTTTCTTGAAGAGTGACCTATGCAGCTGCAATCATGTAGCACATTCCTGGGCAATATCTGAAAGCAATCATTATCACAATTACAGCCTGAAATACCCAATCCCCAGCTATAGTTCACAGTGCCACCAGCACCTAGTACACACTGCACCTTTACAGTGTATGGCTTGTGTAAGTGTTTCATGCCAGGTTTGTCCTAGGCGTTCGTGAAGCACATGTATGTCTGACTCAGATATGTTATGCACCATTACACCACTTGATAGAACCAGGTGGCTAGCAGCAATCCAACAGCTCAGTGTGAGAAGAGGTTGATAGAGGAATTAGGAATGTTTCATTGTATTTTTCTTTATTCTGGTTATTTGCACAAATATAAACGACTCGGCTCCCCTCACTATTTCAGCTGTACTCTTGAGTTTGCTCTTGGTGTTACTGGTTAACCCTGCCCCCTTCCATCCTCCTCTCACTCTCTCACACAAACAGCCCCACAGCAAAACCCTTTTGCTCAAAGAGTTCAAGCCCGCATGTGCCTTTGATTTGAGATTAACTTGGCTTTTTAGCTATCTATCTCCTATAGTTCCTCTGAGACAAAGGGCGGTAGTTACACCCAACACTTTCAATCTTATTTATCACAACCTGTGCAGCAAGTTTGAGGAAACCAGTAAGGCTCTTCAGGGTCGTGAAGAGGACCATTGCATAGTGCGGTTCAGCTTAAGGCCAATGTGCTAAATTGGTTAGGCAGGTCACCGTGCCACAAATGCGAACACGTAAGTTGGAACATGAAAAGAATGTGGGCCGTTTTTGCTAAGGAGTGCACTGTTGGGTTTTGTTAGAAATTGCAAGGTATGCACATATTACATGCTGGTGTGAAAAGCTCCAAGCGTTTTTTTGTCTTAAGACTGTGAATAAATGTGGTTGGTCACAGCTCACTGCTAGGATATTTGAAAATGCTCAGGGGAACTCTTGTAATAATTGAAGAATGGTGTCTCCATGGCAGGATAACACCCACTCCATTTCTTGCTGAGGAAACAATATGGTTATATATTGTAAATTATAGATAATTATCTCACATCCTGTTTCCTCATAGCCCTAAACATAGGAAGCCTTTTCTTTTTCATGATATTCAATCTTGCTGTTAATAACATCTTTCATTTCTACAGCGGGACGTATTCCAGAGGATTCCAGTCTATCTCCCCAGAGCACAGTTGAAGTGTGACCACAACCTGGCATGGCAAGAGGAAAATTGCAGCCAACCAACACAAAATTCCTCTGATCCTATATAAAAGGGTTGCTGCTATCCAGAAGGAACTGAGAAAGTCTGATTTCCTAGCATTTTGTCCGTCCAAGATCGTCAGCTTCAGAGCCAGAACATGCTTTAACTGAACAGGAAACTCTCAGGAACTGACACATGGTTCCTGGATATGGAAATACAGTGAACCTGAAACGTGTGCTGCCAAATTTTATCTCATCGGATCCCACCCATTGGATTCTTTTGAAGCTAAGTTTTGCCAAAGATTAAGCCAATGGGGGGGGGTTGTATTAGTTACTAAATGGTGAACATGGCTGGTTCAAACACCAATAGTAGAACTGATTATAGCTGATTAACCTCTTCTAATGACTTAGAAGGCCAAAAAAACCAACCGAAGCAGAGGTTTGATAACTTTGTTTCCAAAATGGGCCCTAGCTTTTATTAAACAAATACAAGGAAAAAACCCAACCAACCAAACAACTAAAAAAAAAGCAAAAGTCTTCAATTCCTCATCAGTGTGTGTTAACTCATCCCACTTATATTTATAGAACATCATGCTGCTTCCAAACAATGAACCCATGCATGCAAAAAATAAATACCTCAAACATCTTTTTTTTTTTTTAAACCAGAGCTGAATTAAAAGCTCTAACATGGAAATAATGTGTTCAGTGCAGCCAACTATCTGAGGCATCTTGATACACAAAACACACAACCTACTTAGACGGTAGACATACATATGGCAGAACTTCAAAATGAAAAATTCCTTTAAAGCAATGAGAATGCAAGTACCAAAGACAGAGATTTGAGGCCACTACTTTATTAGAGCAACTAGCTAATCCACCCAGGGGTTTTCCACTTAATTTATTTTTACTTTTTCATAGTTATCAAACAGAAGCTAAAGTCTTTAATCTGAAATTAAAGCGATAATCAAAATGCATTGCTGGAAAAAGGGAGAGAAGGAAGATCCCCCCAAAAAAATCAGGAAAAAAAATAAAAATCAAGCAACTGATTTGTAAGACTTCAAAGGCAAGAAGAAGAAGATAAGGAACACCACTGATTTTTCAGGAACAAAACTGAGGCCAAACCAATGTCATTTCCTTTTACAGCAGAGTAACAGGCCCCTTGGAGAGGACGGACAGCATTTGTTGTGTATTTGATTTTAGCAGGCCTTTCAATGCTGTTTAACCTAGGAAGGAGATCAAGATGGAATTTTAAAAATCAAAAGCAGTCTGTGTTAAGGGGACAGTCTGATCCTGGTGCTCATGGTGGATAGGACCAAGTGTACTGGCTTTTGATGCAGAAGGAAGGATCCTACTTATGGATCAAAACAACTTTCCAGAAGTATATACTTTAAATCAGAGAAAGACCCTGCTTGAGGAGGCTTTGGAACAGAGTCCACCACCAGAGATCTTGATGAACAGACTGAATGAAGGAGTAACATATGCATGACTGAGCATCCATGATGGCAGAGCAGGTGAATGAGCTCTGAATAAACTCTGAGTCCACTTCAGACTTTTCTTATGTTGTTTGAATATAGCTATATTCTTCAAAGCTCAGAATCCAAGAGCCAGTCAAGCTCAATCCACATCCACAAGCTGTATCAGGGGAGGCTTAGCCTGGATATTAGGAAAAAATTCTTCACTGAGAGAGTGATCAGGCATTGGAACAGGCTGCCCAGGGAAGTGGTGGAATCACTGCCCTTGGAAGTGTTCAAAAACCATGTAAATGATGCCCTCAGTGACATAGTTCACTGGTGGACTTGGCAGTCCTGGGGTAAGAGTTGGCCTTTATGATTTTAAAGGTCTTTTCCAGTGTAGCTGATTCTACGCTTTTAGTATTCTAAGCTCAGAATCCAACAGATGAATCATTCATTGCTCAAACAAGCATATGTCAAATACCTCCTTTCCTGCCATCTTCACCTCAGATCACAGTGACATTTCATCTACCCCTTCAGGCCAAACCCTTCTTGATTTCTGAGAAAAACACCAACAGGTATGTGTATGAGTGGAGCCCGATAAATTCATGAATGTGCCTATATCATAGTGTTTGCAGAGGTTAGTAAAAGATCAGAGTTCATAACCCCCTATTACTATATCCCTTAACAAAGCCTGAACTTCTTGCTCCCCCTTTCACCAGGCACAGATCTACACCTCACACTGACACACCTCCTTTGACAGAACTGATGGACCGCTCATCCTTGATGGGCTGGTTCTGGAAGCAGTTATCCAACCGGACAGCATTAGCCTCAGCTGGAAACCTCTGTGGGCTGGAATTTCATGTGCACATAGTAAAACTCAAGACATATTTGCCAGAGCTGACAACTGTAAGGTTCCTAATTATTCTTTCCATCGTAAAGAGCGTACAGTACGTGCCCAGTCCAAAAGGTAGATGAGAAAGGGCCAAAGCCTTTCCTCTATTATTCTATATCTTGAAGTTGCGTGAGTAGCTATAAGAGCCAGAGCTGGAATGGACATCAGATACACAATGAGAGGATAAAACAAAAGCACAGACAGCACCTCAGAAGTGATGAGTGTTTCTCTTTGCATTCCTCTCTCTCACAGACACCTCTCTTCAGCTTGCCTGGCTCTTCTGTGCAAAATGATCTGTGCAGTATATGACAGCAATGTCTTCACGACTTGTGATAGAAGCAGTGAATACCACGGCTTTCTCTGTGTCTGTGAGTCCCAAGTGACTCAGTAATCATTTTAATTAAAAGACTCAACAGTAACAAGTAATACATACAGCAGTTCTGTATAGTATGGCCTCTTTGCAACAAAACCTTAACTCTGTGGCTGGCTAGTCAAACACACAGCTGGTTTCCTGCTACTGTTCCCCCGTCTTAATTGCTTCAGTGTATTGTGCTAGGGTCATTCCAGATTTCGGTCTGTTCAAAACACAGCACTGAGTCATCTTTATAACAGGGCTTTCTTTAATCCCAACCTTCAAACCCCTTTCTTTAGATGATCTCATTGAAGATTTGGAGAGATCATTAAGCTTAATAACTTAAAGTCAGATTTACCACAAACATTTCATCTCCATCCATAAGTGCGTGCTTTCCAATCTATGGCTACAGTCTTGCTTCTTAATACATTTCCCTGCAGTCTGCTAATGAATCCAGTCTTTTCCTTTCTTCCTGTGACTCTTTTACACGCTGTCCCCACAGGCTGCTCTTAGTTAATTCAAGTTCTTCCGAGTTAATCCTAAATTAATACTTCACCAGTAATCATGGCAACTAATAAGATGTCGTCATTCTTGTCTGACATTGATACACATTGTGCTTCACTGAGGCTGCAACAACCTCATTCCGGCCGCGAAGAGACGCTCAACCAAGCTTGCGTACCTGGGGGAGCTGCTTCCCCTTCCCTGTGGGTTGTTGCTACGGCAGATGCGTTGCTCTGGGGAGGTTCAGCTTAGGATTTGGCGCTGCCCACAGCGCCCCACTGCTTCCGAGACCGTGTGCAGGAGCTATGGGCACACTCACACAGCCCGGGTTGTATAAACAGGGCTGGTGTGCAACAGCTGCTGCCGCATTGAACAACTTTCTGTTCGCTATTACCAGGATGTATGACCCTGTGTGAAACTGCTCTACAAACACTGGCAGCACAAACAGATTAGAACTAAACCTCGCTACTTCCACCACTGACCCCACCTCAGGCCCTCCCGAGCGCACAGCGGGATCCGCGCCGCCGCCATCCCCTCACAGCGCCCGTTCCGGTGCCCGACCGCAAACACACGGGGACCGCACCGGCACCCCTGTGGAGGCATCCGGCCCCACGGCCGCCATCGCCCCGGGCGGCTGGGCCTATGCCCGAGGGCCATCCCCACCGCGCCCTCCCGTGGTGCTGCGCTGCCGCGGCCGCAGGGCTGCAGCCAACGCTGCCTGCCTCTGGTTTAATTAAAACGGTCATTAAATATAGTAATTAAAACCAAGCCACTCGGGGCGCACCCGCGGCGCGGCAAGATGACGTCACCGCCCGCGCGTCCCTCAGCAGCAGCCCTGCCGCCATGTCGCCACCAGGGGGCGCACCCGCCCGCGACTCGAGACCCCGCCCCGCCCCGGCCCCCTCTCTCCCTCCTCCCATTGGCTCCTCGCTGGCGCCGGCCGCGGCTGCGGGTCACGTGCCCTCCCCTTCACGCCTGCCCCCCGCCCCCCCCCCCCTTCAAACCGCCACCGGAGGACCGATCCCACAATGCTCCTGCAGCCGGGGCGGGGCGGGGCGGTTTGGACGCGTCTCGGTGGTGGCTGCGTCGCCCGCCCGCCGCCACGCCACCGCCTCCCCCCCGCCCGCCCCTAGGCGGAAGGCGGCCCAGCAGCGCCCCCCCGCGGCTCCCGCCGGTGCTACGCAGTGCCGGCCGCACGAGGACATGTGGCCGGGCGGGCACTGAGGGGGGCCCCGCCACGCCGAGCCCGCCTCGCCTCACAACCGACCGGGCGCACTCTCCTCGGCCGCGGCGGGCGCCGCTCCCGGAAGTCCCGAAGAGGAGCGCGGTAATCGCGAGGAGCCGGAGCCTCCGCTCCGTGCTGGCGGCCGCGGAGCAGTGAGCGTGCGAGGGGACGCCGCGGCGCCAGGTGAACGCCGGGGGCCAGGGCGGGCGCCTCTCTCGACGGTCTCTGTGTGGCGGTTGAAAGTGCTTGGGGCCATTCCCCGGCAGCGGGCCGGGGCAGAGTGCCGCCGGGCCGGACGGACGGACGGAGGGAGGGGAGGAAAGGGGAGGGGAGGGGTGCGGGCGGTGCTGCCGTCCCGCTCCGGCCGGGGCCTTGGCCTCTGGTGGCAGCCCGCCTGGCTCGAGTGCCCCCTTCCTCCCGCCGGGCAGAGGGCGGGGTTTGCTGCCGGTCTCGAGCTTCCCTCCGTCCTGTCCCCTCCTCTCGCTGCCTGCCTCGTGGCGCCGACCGGGTGGGTGACCCGGCCCGGTACCGTCTCTCGGCCGCTGTGACAAGCCGCTGCGGGCGCGGGGGGGGCCGGCTCCCGCCCGCCTCGTTTCCCGAGGCGGGAGGGTAAACAAAGGGGGCGGCCCGGGCGAGCCGCTGTGCCCCGGAGACCACCGGCTCCCTCCGCGTTGACGGCTGTTATCGGGGCACGATGACCGGCAGCCCTGCCTGCCCGGTGGTCCGTGAGCGGGGTGGCCGCAGGGACCTTCCCGCCGCGGCGCTGGCCTGAACAAAGATCCCGGCCCGGGGCGGCAGTGCTGTCCCGCAGCTTCCCGGGGTTGCAGATACCGGCAGCGGCGGCTGCGAGGAGCAGGAGTTAGCGGAGACTTCGCAGTTGTGGAGGAAGTTGTATGGAGAGGCTGTGCTTAAGCTGTTGTGGCATCGCGACTGATTTAAACAGCAGTCAAGTAGCACAGAGCTGGAGCGCGGATGTGGTGCGGTTATCAAGCCAGTGAGGCTCCAGCCCTGCTTGTGGTGTAGAGTACATTGTGTCCTAGTTATTTTTTTCCCTTTGGTGAGTATTAAAGTTAGCCTGAGCCTCAAATGTAACTTTATCTTTGAGAAGCTGTCTCCACGTTTAAAACTTCAAAACAGTTTTGGTAGGACTAGAAATGGTCCCCTTCCTCTCACTGTGCTTTTGTTTTAGACTGCTAATTAATTATAAACTTTCAGGAAGAATGACATTACAAAAGAGGCCAAGTAGCTACTGTTTGTTTATCAGTAACTAGGTACTGCTGGCAAAGAATCGTTTATTTAAAATGCTAAGAGATGGTGAAAGCTGTTCACAACTAATTAATTATATAACGGAATGCCCCTGATTATTGAACAGCTATTTTAAGATTGTAATTTTATAGCTTCAATAACCTTTAAGGGAGCTCTAGCTAGTTTAGTGTCTGATGTTATGTTTGCATATCACTAATGTGTTGGGGCTTTTCATTTTCTTTCAGTGAATAATAGTTTTAAGTGAAGCATAATCTAACTTGGGTGTATCTCTGCGTGGGTATTCAGACACGCACATGGAAGAAGGAGGATGGCTGAAGTCTTTAGACACTTTTATAATGGATTCGTTCGATCTTAGCATAAATACTAGGCTTCTTAAGAGAAATGACAGCATGACAGAAAAATAGCTATTATTTGGTTGATTATATGTGGTAATCCATGTCTGTGTTTTACACGGAAAGCTGTATTATATGTTTCATTTAGAATTTCTAGGAAGATAATGTTTGTTGTGTTTTCCTTGGATGAGATATAGGTGGGGGAGGGGCTATTTAGGCTCTTAGTCACAATGTTAAATCTTTTGCAGCTCTCCTTTCAGCGGTTTACATTTGTTGATGCGTCAACTTCCAGAGTGGTAAAAGGCCCAAATGAAGAAATCCATCAGTTTGCTTTCACGTTCCACTTCCCTTAAAGTCTGCTTGTAAATTAGCAGAACAGACAACTGGTTTGTGGTCTGGGGGGGCGGGGGGAGTGGGGTGGAAATCTCTTCCGAGTAGTCTTGAAAGAGAATGTTTTTTCAGGCCTTCTTTAGTAGCAGGTTTATGGGTTTGCTAGTTTATCTCGTTAGCCATATCACCTTTACATTTGGGAATACTTCTCCAGGAATTTGGTGATTTTCTTGAAACCTGTAGTGCTTGAACACAATGTGAAGGTTGTTGAGTTTGATTTCACAAGGAGATGTAAGTTTGTCTTATTTTCCAGTTATTCAGCTATTGCTTTTGAAACATCCAGATAATAGTTTCTTTGTTCTCTCAAGTTACTGTAGTTTGACGCAGTTGATGCATGACTTCTACCTTCTGGTTTTCTAAAACTTGTAGATGGTTCTGCTCATGATATGTGATGGTTCTGTTACAAACATTTGTTGTTGTTTTCCTGTTACAGGGATTCTTTGTAGAATTTTCTCAGTTTTCCACTGTGCAAAACTGGAAGTTATTAAAGTTGGCCTTATTTAGTAATTAAAGGGTAAATTTATTTCAATTAATGCTATATTTAAGCATACATTATATTGGGGGGGAGGGGACAGACACCGCTGCTGGAAAAAGTCTGATGGACTGACTTGCCATACCTGCACTATAATTCTTGAAGCCTGGCCTTCTGACAGTTCACTGCTGGGATTTTCTGAGCAGTCCAAGGTGAGGGAGAAAAAATGTTCTTTCAGTTAATAGTAACAAAACCATGCAGTCCAGTTCCTGTTCATAGCTGAACTGATTATTAGTTGTGGTCAGCCATTGTATCAAGTTGTCTGAATGAGTTCTGAAATGGTTACAGCTAATCTGCTAAGCCATTTTAAGATTAAGGTTTTATAAGTCTCAGCATTGCCCAAAGTTTTGCCTCCCCCCACCCCACCCCAAAGTCGGAGATAAAAATGTTAAGCAGATTGATACTCTAATCTTTCTTCTGTAGTCATGAATACCGGGGGGCTCTAATGTGCATATTTTTTAGAGCACTCCTCCTTCGTGGCTTTTCAGGAGTGAGCATGTTCTGTTTCATCTGTATGTACTAGTCCACCTTGCCTTGGAGGTTAGCATCCTTTATCTGAGAGGATATGAGTGCAGTAGCATTGTGTCTTCTTTCTCCTACTTGTTTTTCATCTTTTTGTACCCAGAAGTTGAGGATATGCACACCCTTTACATGCAGAAAGCTGTGAACATCTCTGATTTGGGTTTGGAAGTTGCTTAATTTTGGTCCCTTGAACTGCTTGAGTAGTAGGTGATTCTCTTGTGTAGGAAGTTAGCTGCAGTTGTAAAATAACAAATGGAGGACCGCAGCCGCTGGAAGATGGAAGGTGAATGCACGGCTGCCTTTCTGTTCCCTGAAGCTGCAGCTCTGCTGTCCTGAACAGTTATCAATCACCTCTGCATGTTGGTCTGTTGAAACGTCAAAGGCACAATATTGGAAGGGTGATCAACAGTTGAATGTGCATAATTAAGTATTTGAGTGGCCCATACCAGATTCAACAAGTAGTTTTTCTGTCAGGAGTTGGATTTTGGTTTTGTTTTTATGTAAAAGTGCCAAGGAAATTGCCTTATACTTTTAAAAACATTCAGGTTTTCTACATCAGATAGTTTTCCTCAAGACTTAGATGGAGAAAGAAATTAAATTTTACCAAATGTAGGAGTTGTCACTCCTAGGCTGGGGAAAGTAACTGCCTTGACAAAGGATGATCAAAATACTGCATTTAATTATGTGTAAGTAGGCAAGATTAAAATTATCTTCATGTAGAATGCATTTATTCAGGTAACGTATTACTTATCTGTAAGCATCTGTGCCATTGTGCATGTTGTGCTAAAATGAGTATTTTCTCCCATTCATTTTTTATTATCAGGTAATACTGTCTTACAGATTATTGTGATGAATGGTAGTATACTTTACTTTATTTTTTTTCTTTCCCCATGAGAACATAAAGCTTGAATTTTAACTTGGGAGCACTCATAGAATGCTCCATGAACTCCACATTCAGCAAACATGAAAAAGTGACATTCTGATTTTCTGTTTCTGTGGCCAGTGGTATTTCTTAACTTTCTGAGATTTTTGCGTATAAATATTGAAAGGTACTTATTCATGTTTAGAGAGAATTGGGAAGACCAGGAAATGTGTCTTCCAGAAGCTGTTTTCTAAAGCCTAATACTGTGGTAAATTGCAGTATCTGATTACTTTCGTAACAGACACTAATAGTAATGTCTGTCTTAATGCAGTTTTTATTTAAGGATTAGTGAACTCCCATTAAAATGCAATCTTTGTTCCAGTGTTATTTGGTCTGTAAGTACTGCTTAACTGTGATCTGCCTTCAAAGGTACTATCTGTGAGTAAACCCAAGTGAGGCATTTAATGATGTTTGGAATTTTTCCAAGGTAGTACGAAATTACTTGGAAACGTCAAGTGAGTTAATGCGTGTTGTCTTTTTGCTTACCACCTGGCTTTTGTTAGACTGCCAGCAGTAATAAGAATGTAAAATTCTGTGGGATCAGTGTCTGACAAATCTTCATGTATGTCCATTACTTTAGATAGCAACACTGGCCAGAGCTGCAGCATGAAGACTTCTACCTTTCTTGGTGCGCCACAGGAGAGGTGGAGAGCCTTACAACAAACTGAGCTGTACTGATATTCAAAACTTGAGGTTTAAGGTACAATCTGAAGGTAGATGAGCAGTCTTATTTGGGCTTCAGCAATTCTGGACATGGAGGAACAACAAAATTCTTCTCTGCTTTCTGTACAACCACTGAATAAGCACTTGTACACAGCTTTGCTTTTTTTTAAACATACTTGCTTTATTACTTGTGTTGTGAAATGTAGTGACCCCTGTGGATATATAGGTGTAATGGAAAGTAACTGGAAGCCTTATGAAACAGTTGGAGAAAAGTAGTTTGTAAGGACTACCTTGAACTCATTGGAGTTTTGTTTTAGAGATGTTATCAAATAAAATTACCTGTGACAATGAAGGTAAAGTATATTCTTCTCTCTAAACCTATGCAACTTTGATTTTTATGATGTGGTTTCATCAGCCCAAACAGGAAAGGCATCTTATAGAAGTCTTGGATAAGTCAGTTGGGATCAGTGGTTGTGTTGTGGTTATTCTGGGAAGAAAATTTGAATGAGAATGGGGTTCATCACTGTCAGGAGAGTCTAGTATTGCTGATGCAGGA